TTGGGACACCTTTCTGTCAATCATCCTATGTGACCCTCCCATTTTAGAGAGGGGGAACTTTAGGTTCAGAAAGGGGAGGTGATTTTCCTTATAACTAGTTAGTGACAGAGCTAGGACTTAAACCTAAGTCTCTGAATCCTAAAACTTGTAGCTTCAGAGGGGTAACAAAGAATAGAGGTTAACAGCATGGCACTTTGGAATCAGAACCAATCTAAAATTCCAGCCCTACTCTCTCTTAGCTATGTGACCTCAAGCAAATTCCTTAACCTATCTGGGCTTTAGTTGCCCCATCTATAAAATGGACATAATAGAAGCTACGTGATAGAATTTTCAGGATTAAATGAGACAGAGAATGCACTTCACATATTGAAGTGTGCTAAGTGGGAGCCGCTCCTCCCTGGCCCCAGCCAGGGACCTCCCTGTGCCCACAGGCACATCCACGCACACACATCTTCCCACCCCAGCCTCTCTACCTCTTTCCCTCCAGCAACCAGCGGCTGCCTGCATGTTTTCCACCGGCTGGCTTGAGCCGAAGGGGTTGTGGTAGCTCTAGCGGGTTCCAGTTGGGAGTCTGGCGCTGCTCTTGATTAATTTCCCCAGGGCCACACAACGTTTCATGTGGCTGTCCTTTGTAATTATGCGTTTCCCCCCTAGGGTGTCCAGGATGGGGCTGTTTTTCTCTTTTCTCCCCTTTATTCCCGCCCCTGTGCTTCCCCCCCCCTCTGTGCCCCGCCCCTCCTGGGCTGCTGCTCTGTCCCCCCCCCTTTCCCCCTCCCCGGCCCGGCCTCGCCCCCACCAGTTTCTATTTCCCYCCTGTCTCCGCTGGCTTCCCGCGGTTTCTCTTGGCCTGTGCTCAAGCCTGGCGTGACACGTCTGGCGTGACCGCTCTCCCCCTCCCACATCAGTTGGGGAGGAAGCAAGTGTATCCAGGGAGGGGAATTGGGGGGGCTGGGTGCTGCCAGCCCAGGTGCCAAGCCAAACAGCCTGTGCGCCACGTCTGACTCAGTACCTGGGGCCTGGAATGCTGGGCCGGCTGGCCCCAACCCTTACCCAGCCCTACCCAAGACTCCCCCAAACCTAGTTCCTACTCCCCAAAGTCTGGTTCTAGCTGGTAGAAAGCAGGACCATGGGGCTGGTCTTTCCCTGAGTCTCTGAGAATGTCTATGAGAGTATTCAGGGATCCCCCCCACAACCCGCCGCCTTCTGGAGATGAAGAATGGTCACTTCCAGGGACAAGAGGTGTACCTGGCCTGCTCTGGGGAGGACATCCCACCCCTGGAAGAGCACAGGCAGAGGTGTGTCCCCTGTATGCCTTCCTCCTCTATTGGCTCTGCTGATACTCCTGGGGAAGCAGGAAGGTCACTGATGGTGGCAGTTTTTGGAATGCAACAACCACGATGCAGATCTGTCTTCCCAATTCACCAGCCCTGACCTTGCAGAACCCCCACACTTGTCAGTCTCTGTTTCCTCATCTATGGCAGAGGGGGGAGTCACTAAAGAGGATCTGCGAGGAAGAAATCAGACAGGGGGTGTCAACCCTCCCCGGAGCGCTGGCTCACAGGGTGCTCCACATATGGGCCCCTATCCCACTTCTCCCTCAGCCTAGCAACTGGGGCTGGTCTTGCACGCCAGGCAAGATGGAGGGACCAGAAACAAGGGGAGCAGCACCACACTGAGGTCTGAGGAGGTCTCTCCTTGAATCCCTACAACTTCCCAAAGCTCAGGACATAACATCAATCATACAGACTCTTTGGGCTTGTGCATCCCTCATTCACTATCCACGTGCACACACACTGTGTCCTACAGTCACAGCCTGTCTGGTCACCCTCTGGGCTTCACTTCTTATTCACAACTTGTCCAACACGTTCATCATGAGCTCTTATCCTGTGCCAAGCTCTTGGTGACCAGGTTCTCCATCCACCCTGAGGTCAAAGCCAGAGAATCGGTTGTTGACTTGACTTCGCTTTTCCAACTCCCACATCCATCAGTGGTACTACTAATCATAATGGTAACTGTGCTGGAGGCAAAGAAAGGTACTGTTCTAGGTCATTCATGCTTATCACCTCACCTCATGCTATCCTATGGAGGTACATAGATACCATCCTCATCTCTTTTTTGTTAATAAGGAAACAGAAGGACAGCTGTTGAGTAACCTGCCTGAGGTCTCCCGAGTGGTAAGTGACGGAAGTGAGATTTGAACCCAGGGAGTCCGACACCAGAGTCCTGACCTGGCTCCTTGATATTCCCAGAGTTCACCAACATCTCCTCTTGCTTTGGCTGCTGTCATACTCACTTCACTCAGGAGTCTCTTTGCTGGCTCCCCACCTCCAGGTTGGCCCCCACCTGCTGCCAAAGATGGAGGGGAGACCCAAACCCTATCACATTGCTCTCCTGCTAAAAGTCCTTCAATGGCTCCCCACTTTTTTGAGATACTGGGGATGGAACCCAGGCCCTCATGCACGCCAGGCAAGCACTCCACCACTGAGCCACACTCCAGCCCAGCTCCCCGCTTGCTTAAGCATAAAGTTCAAAGCTTTAGCAAAGCCCTTGCCTACCTGTCAGGATCATCACTTGCTAGTTCCAGATCTTTCCCCATCACTGCCTTTCCCACTAGGCCCCAACACAACACACACACACACACACACACACACACACACACACACACACTACACACACAGTTCAGCCAAACTCCCTCCTGCAAATTCTCTAGAGCACACTCAGGATTCCTTCTTATCTCTGTGCATGTGCTGTTCCTTCTACCTGTGACATTTTTTAAGGCCTCAAAATTATTTGCAAAATGAATGAATCGATGACCATTTAGACAAACAATATTGCAATAGTATCATCACGTATCACAGCTGTGCAGAACATTTTGCAAATCCCTCCCATGTATTGCACATTCATCTTCATGACAACCCTGTGAGGTAGGCAGGGAAGATAGTTAGCCCCACGATAGTCAGGGTAGGTGCCAGGACCATAGGCCACCTTTTCTCTCTGGCTGGCTTGTACTTTTCCCACAGGATTGCAAGAGGCAAATCTATTCATTTACCTTACAACTGTGGAAGTGGGGAATGGGGCCTCTGTCCCCATCCCCTGACCCACACAAGCAACAGGGAGTCATGGGGTTGGGGGTAGACACTAATTATCTAGTTCTCCAAACCAACAGGGTCTGCCCACTTCCCAGAAAGTGTAGGGGAAATGGCATGTCTAATTCAGAAGCTCCATGCCTAGTCTGAAAGTGAGGCCTTTAGAACCCCTAAGCAAAAAATGGGATCCACGAGTTTAAAAAAATTTAAAAAACAACTTAACCTTAAAATAAATGCAAAGAAGTCCAGTGAACTCCAAGTTTTTTCCCATGAAGGCCTCTTTGATGCTCTGGATGAAATGTCAAACCCCCCCCCATACACACACACACACACACACACACCCCTCTTATTTTTGGCTGTCCCTGTCCTTTGCTGGTGCCCTAAGTAAATGTTTAGTCTGCCCCGCCAGAGGGGGAGCAAGCGCAGGCTTTCCTAGCCTTTGATCTCCTGACCTTGGCTCCTAGGGGCAGCCGGATTGCTGGCTCTGTCCAGTGGTGGGGCTGGCTGGAAGGAGAGGGGTGGCTGGGGCCAAAGGCCTAGACACATTGGGATGGAGTGCGAAAAGAAAATGAGGGGAGACAGACAGGTTCGGTCACTGGGGCAAATCAGGCAGCTTGGGGGAGGGCAGACACTGAGGTTCAGAAACAGAGAAGGAAGTGAGAGGATGCCCCAGGGAGTATAGGGGATAAAGGTCCCAACCATGGTGGCCATGGCACAGCTAGCTAGGCAGGACCCCCAGGACTGGGTTTTTGTTTGTTTTGTTTTGACTGGGAATTGAACTCAGAGGTGTTTTACCATTGAGCCACATCCCCAGCCCTTTTAAATTTTGAGACAGGGTCTTGCTAAATTGCTCAGGGTCTCTCTAAGTTTCTGAGCCTGGCCTTGAACTTGCAGTCCTCCTGCCTCAGCCCCCTGAGCTGCTGGGATGACAGGTCTGCAGCACTCTGCCTGGTTGGACCCATGTTTTTATGATGGAATGGGGGCTAAATGTCAGCCACAGGGAGAAAAGCCCCCCACCCCCACCCCGCAAACTCCTGCCACTCAAGGGCAGTCAGGACAGTTCTGAGTCGTCTGACTTCCATGTCCATGCACTGGGCAGGGCCACAGCAGGACCTACAAGCTGTGAATACCAGAATACCAGAGGCTTTTTTCCTTTCACTGTCAGCACTTCCGTTTCTCCTGCTGGCAGGTGTCATGCTCCAATCTCATCCTCCAACTTTGATCTCTCTCTAAATCCCCCGCTTGAGCCCCCTGCCCCAATGAATCCATTCTCCCGTAGGATAATGAGATGTCACTGGAAATGCAGTGGTGTTCAACAGGCATGTGTGAGGCACCACCTACCCTGTTCCAGCTCTGTGCGGTGTTGTGTGGATAAACCCAGCACCTGACCCAGAGGACCACAGTGGGCAAGGTTCCATCACCCGAGCACCTGTTCCCACTTTTGGGCAGGCTTGATCTTGCTGCCATGATGCCCCTGCTGGTCAAGAAGGGAACTACAGGCTCCTTGGAGGAATGGATCTGTCATGGGTGGCCCATGACAGCCCATTCTCCTTCCCACCCACCTTCTCTCCTTGCGCAGAGCCCTGGGGGCAAGAGCGGGCTAGGTGGAGGAGACAGCCCCTTCCTGATGCTCTTTGGGAACATGGCAGAATGCCAGTCGCCTCGGGACTGCTGCCCTGGTGGCCCTACCTAGGGAGGTCTCCCTTCCCCAAATACACACACAAGGGAACACAGACGCACTGCTGCCGACAACAACCAAACCCCCCAAGAAACCAAAGTCAGGAGGAGCCAGCTGTCTGGAACACGGAGTGGAGAAGGGGATCTGAAGGAGAAGGAAGGGCTGAGGCCAGGGGCGCTTGGACTGCGACTCAGCTCCCAGGAAGCAGGTGACCCCCAGGACAGCCCCTCAGTGACTCACAGAGACTGCAGGCCCGGCAGCTCCCACAGCGCTTCCGCCGGGATCCCTCCCAGCTCGTTGTTCTGCAGCATCCTGGAAGGGAAAAGGGGCTTTGAGGACCCACAGGGCATGAGGACAGGGGTGGCAGGGGGTGAGGGGGTCCCCGCTTGAGCCCCCTGCCCCAAGCCAGGCCCCTCCCTCTTGCTTGAGAGCCCCAGAGGGAATCTTGTTCCAGCCCCTCCCCTCTGTTGCTAGTGGGGAGTCGGAGGCTGTTGAGGTGTGCACTGGAGGCTGGGAGGCCCAGAGTAGGGAGAGAGCATCTCAGAAGAGCTTCCAGGATGAGGCAGGAGGAAAGAGAATGGTGAAAAGGAAGGGAGATGTTCTCGAAGCAACAAGGGCCGAAGTTGGAATCCATGGAATTCTGCTGAAGTTTGGCAGGAAGCACGTGGGGAAATATGGATTTTTTTCTCCCTGGGCCTCAGTTTCTCTAGCTATTCAACTAAGAGGCTAAAGGTTCCTTTGTGGAAGAGGAGGACACGAATGAGGGTAAGGCCAACCCTAGGGTGTCAGGGTTTCAGGAAAATGTGTTTTTAGAGTCCTTGTCTGTAGATACAGTTTGAAACCCAGCACAGTGGCACATGCCTGTAGTCCCAGTAACTCAGGAGGCTGAGGAAGGAGGATCCCAAGTTCAAGGCCAGCCTCCATGAAACCCTACCCCCAAATTAAAAGGGTAGCTCAGTGATGGAGTATCATTGGTTTTTATCCCTAGTACTGTAAGAAAAGAGAAGAAAGGAAGGAAAGGAGGGAGGAAGGGAGGGAGGAAAGGAAAGAACTGAGGCTGGCCCACCAGATCAACACACCAGCCTGTTCTGGTGGGCCAGCCTCACACAACAGAATTTAGAAAAGTAACAGACCAACTCGTGGAAATGACCCTCTGGCCAAGCTACCTTCCTGGAATTGGGGCTGGGCCACAGGATGTGAGGATGTCTCCCCAGGCTGGGATCCTGGAGCTCCTGGGGGCATGCAGGGAAACCCCAGGGAGCATGCAGTCGGGGAGCAATGACAGAATGGGACACCTTTCCCAGAGGCACCACTAACTCCAGCCAACTCCCGGCAGCAGAGGGACCTTAGGACATTTGAGGAAGGCACCCCACACTGCAGGAAGTCCCTGAGGGTCCTGCTTGCCTGGTTSTAAGGGAGACACTGGAGGACAAAATGGAGGGAAGCCTTTGGGTAGCCATTGCCATCAGAACATCCTTTACTTCTGAGCCCCCAGATCCAGAAATGAGAAGAGGGCACCCAAGGAGCAGGAGCTCTGGAAATAGCTGAAGAAGCAGGAAGGATATGGCTGACTGTCCCAGGCAGGGTGAGGGAGCACCCCCTCCTAAGCTGTGCATGCCACCTGTCCAGGGAGGAGTCAGGGGCATTTGTGGGTCTGCCTCAGCTGGCCAGGCTCCTTGGGAATTATGGGGGGTGGGGTGCAGGAGGCTGATCTCTCAGTGAGCACTTACTATGTGCCCCAGTATGTTGCTGCCCTGAGGGGTCCAGTCTTCCCTCTAAGGTGTTATTGCTAGCCCTGGTTCAGAGGGGAAGGTCAAGGCTCCAAGAGGATAAACACCTTGCCCAAGGTCACATAGGTATCACTGGGCTTCAGGGAACGGGGCTTATTTCCTGATCTTGACTTTAGTAATAGTAAGAGCTGGCTTGCCAAGTCCTGGTGTTGGGGTGTTAACAGGTATTCACCCAAACCTATCCTTGTTACAACTCCACCAGATCATTTCAAGGTCACACTGCTGATAAGGGACAGACAGAGCTGGGGTTTGAATCCAGAGGTTTAGACCCACAGTCTGGATGCTTGACCAATGACACCACATAGCACCTATCTCGATGGCAGGGTAGAGCAGGGGCCAGAAAATGCTGATGAGCCTGGTAGCTATTGTTGCCTGCTGTGTGATTGTTCAGGTCAGAGTCACCTGTTACCTTCCCTGATCTCCTCTTAGGGATATGTGAAGACCCCAAATACAAACCAAATTTCAGCACCCTGGGACAGGATGCTCATCTACTGCAGGGATGTGGGGAGTGCAGAAAGGAGCCCCTGGTGGAGGCAAAGCTGAAGATGAGAGAACAATTCAGACTCAGGCAGCCCAGGACTGGGGTCTTGCCCAGCAGGAGAGAGGGAGGGCAGTGTGGGRGAAGGGCAGGCTGCCCTGAGCAGCTGGAGGACCCTGCCCCTTTCCATGCACACTCCGTGATCCCAAAGGTCTCAGCCTCCTGGTCCCTCCAGCGCAGGCTCTAAGCGGTGTCAGAGAGAGCTTTCCAATGATGGTTTCCCTTCCTGAATGGAATTTAAACCTGCGCCTCTCCAGCTTCCTTAAATATGATGTCCCACGTGAGGCTCTGTCAGATGGCCCTGAGACTGCATCCCCAGCTCTGCCCCTCTCCAGGGGTATGAAAGGTGCAATTGCTTAAACTCCCAGGGCCTCTGTTTCCTCCTCTTTGGACTGGGGATAATGATGGTGAACTCAGGTGCTGACTGTGATCAAATAAAACAGCCCTCGAAAACCCTGTGCAGCAAGAAAAAACTAAGGGGATGCTGGCGGACATCACTGACCGTCATTAATATCTGGTCTCAGTTCTACCACTTACTGGAGGACTGGAGTAAGTCACTGCCCTCCTCCGGGCCTCAAGACCCTCATCTGTTAAAGGAAGAAGCTGCCAGAAGATGCACAGACTTCCCCCAGTTGTAGCAGTCAAGGATTTGGTCTCACCTAACCACACACAAAGAAGTGACAGGTCAACCAGGGGAAGGGACCCGTTCTTCAGGCTCCTCTCCTGCAACTGAGGCCTGCTTGGCCAAGGGACTCCAGGGCAGCTCCCTGGGCAAAGATGCTGAAGCTCCTGGGAACCCGCACTTCCCTGTGCAGGTAGAGGAGCTGAGGGCATGCAGCGGGGAGCTCCTCTCCCTCCAGCCATCTGACTTCTTTCATGGGAAAAGGCAAGCACTTCTCTCCCCACCTGAGTGAGCTGCCTGGATTCTCACCCCGAGGCCTCAGCATGCTTGAAGCAAAGTACAGGGAAATGATGGCTGGGAAAGGGAGCCGGGGCTGCTCAGGCTGCGCATTCCTCCAGGACTAGACCTGAACAGGTACCTTCCACCGCAAAGAGCACCTCCATGTACCTCCACCCTCCAAAAAGCCCCACCCCTTCCTCTGCCAAATCCTAAACAGGGAAATCTAGAAAGACCTTTAAGGTGTAGGAATCGTACCCCCAACACAGATTCTGCAGTATCCTCATGGGGCTCTTAAGTTATTTTCCACTGTCAGGGAACTCAGTGTCTCCCCAGAGAACTCATGCCAGGCCACACCACCTGGCCACCAGAAAGCCCCTTCTTTCCTGAATCAAAACCCAGCAAGCTGGAGTCCAGCATGGCATTTGGTTCCGGCCCCGACCTGCTTCCAGTGCTGTCCCTGGTCTCGTCACCCAGCCATCAGCTTCTTTATTGAAGCACAATCAGGTTTTAAAGACTGGAAGGACTTTTAGAAGGGAGCAGCCAAGATGAAGAGATGGAGGATCAGAGAGGGGTGGTGACTTGCCCTGAATTGCAAGACAGATTAATGGCAGGATCCCAGGATCTCAGCCCTGGGTCCCAGGCCAGGGCTTTGTGACCTTCCCTACTTCTCTTGCTGGCCCTGGTTCTGCCTGGTGAGGCACAGTCTATTTCATCCTGTGCACTCAACTCTGACTGCATGTTAGAATCACCTGGAAGGTTTTTAAATTCCCAATGCCCAGCCACACTGTAACTCAGTTAAGTCTCTGGGGCAGAGTCCTTGGGGGAGAAATATGAGGCATTCACAGTTTTTCAAATTCACAGTGACATTTTTTTTCTTCTTTCTTTCTTTTTTTTTTTTTTGTGACTGGGGATTGGGAACTGAACCCAGCCCTTGCACATACTAAGCAACTGCTCTGCCACGTAATGAACTGGGAGGGATAATGATGTTGACCTTATGTGCTGTGATCAAATAAAAGAGCCCAGTCATTTTTATTTTCTTTTGAGACAGGATCTCACTAAGCTGCCCAGGCTGGCCTCCAACTTGCAATCCTCCTGCTTCAGCCTCCCAAAGGACTGGTTTCAGGTGATTGTCATGTGGAGCTGAGCCTGGCAGAAGTCTAGTACTCAGCACCCTCCCTCCCTGGGTCCTGGTGTGTCAGTCAGCTTTTTCYTCTGCTGTGACTGAAGGACCCAGCCAGAACAATTGTAGAGGAGGAAAAGTTTATTGAAGGATTCACAGTTTATTGAAGGTCTCAGTCTATAGAAGGCCAGCTCCACTCCTCGGGGCTCGAGGTGAGGGAGAACATCATGGTGGAAGAGTGTGGCAGAGGGAAGCAGCTCACGTGGTGACCAGAGAGCAGAGAGACTCCCTTCTCCAGATACAAAATGTATACCCCATAGCCACACCACCAGTGAACCACTTCCCCCAGCCACACCTCATCTGCCTCCAGTTACCACTCAGATAATCCCATCAGGGATTAACTCACTGGTTAGGTTAAGGCTATAACCCAATCATTTCTCCCCCAAACTTTCTCGCATTGTCTCTCACATGTGAGCTCTTGGGGGGACAGCTCATATCCAAACCATAACACCTGGGGAACATCTTTCTGGCCAGAGAGACACTTGGGGACAAGAACCATGAGTGCCACAGCCAGAGGGTACCACAGGTGACCCAGCAGTGGCTCTACAGGCCCTTCCTTTGGTTCTGCAAAGGGGCCTTGGGGTTCCTGGAGTGGGCAAGACAGCGCCTAGAGCCCCCGACCCACACTCGCAGAGCTCTCTCTCATCTGTTGTACGTTGAGACTTCTATACAAGGTCTTTTTAAATTTCTGGGATTTTTTTTCTCTATTTCTTTTTCTTCCTTTCTTAATGTGGTGCTGGGGTTGGAAGCCAGGGCCCCATCCATGCTGGACCTGAGCTCTACCACTGACCAGACCCTCAGCTTTTGTTTTAAGTTTTTGTAGCTAAAAATGTTGGGAAGTTTATTCCAACTATCCCATTTTAAATGATGAAATAATGATTTGCAGGGAGAGGGCGTCGGAACGTCCTCCCGGCACCTACTCTGGTGAGGTCCTCTGGGCTCCAGTTTCCCTGCTATACTAGAGACCCTCTTCCTGTCCACCAATCCCTTAGAGGGTCTCCCTGGGCTCTGGACAGCCTGGGCCCATGAAGCAGGCCAGTGAGACTCACCCAAAGCCAGCACTCCCCAGGGACTCACCCGTCCCTCCTGGGGTCTGTTCAGTTCAGTTCAACAACACAGATGGAGCCCCAGCTCTGGGCCAGGCATGGCCACTGTCTGGCCAGGTGGAGCATAAACACAGCCCATGACAATCCCAGACAGCTCCAGGCCCCGTGGAGAGGGCTCCCTAGAGGCTGGCATAGGGAGATGTCCTCGAGGACAAGCCAGACGAATTCTTTCCCTCCCGCTCCTTGGTGCCCTCCAGCCAGGGCTTCAGAGGGATGGGCCCGCTCAGAAGAAGCCAGGAGCCCTTCTAGACCCTTATGTTCACCAAGATGGCACTGGCGAGGAATCTGCAGTCACCGACTCCCAGGGATTCGGGGCTCAGCCCAGGAGCAAGGGTTCTGGGGAAATCTTCCCAGTCTCCTGGAGGCAGGGACGGAATGGTAAGGCCCTGACTGTCTGCCACCTGCTTCCTGGGTCTGGCTCTGGTGAGGAACAAAGGCCCCAGCAGAGTCCTTTCTTTTCTTTTTCTTTCCTTTCCTTTCTCCCGCCCCCCCTCCCCCTCCTCCTCCTCCTCCTTCTTGTCCCCCCCCCCCGCCCCCGCAGTATTAGGAATTGAACCTAGGGGGTACTTTTCCACTGAGCCACATCCCCAGCCTTTTTGTTTGATTTTGAGACAGGGTCTTGCTACATTGCCCAGGTTGGCCTGGTACTTGTGGAGAGTGCCTCGGCCTCCCGAGTTGCTGGGATGACAGGCGTCTGCCACTGTGTCTGGTACCAGCAGGCATCTTGGTAGATGGGACCACAGTATCCTGATGCAGGGTGGACACAGGCCCTGGCTGGTCCTCCGAGAAGGGGACTAAGGCCTGGATTAAGGACTAAGGTCCTGCTCTCTGGCAGGAAAGCTCTGGGAGGGAAGGTGGGGCTACAACCTTTTGAGTTAAAGAGCCTGAGACTTAACAGACACACACCCTGAGCCCAAGGGCTCTGGCCACAGCCACCCCCAGGCCCTACAGGCACTCAGGACAGGGCCCTTGGAGGTGCAGGCATTGTCCCATGTGCCTGGGGCAGCAAGAACGGTAGCTTCCCTTGGGACAGCACCACCAGCGAGCCTGGCAAGCGAACCTGATGTCCAGACACACAGGAGCCCACGGCTGCCGAGTCCCTGTGGAGGCCAACTCTCGTGATCCAACCTTGTACAGAGGAGAGTGGGAGAGAAGCCCTAGTGATACCTCCAGGGCTGGCCTGGGGGGAGGACCTGGGAGGGGCTCTGCCACAGTCATTCAGGGAGGATCAGAGAGGGAATCCACTTTGTTTAATCCTTTGCTTCTGGGAGGGTAAAAAGGAGGCGGCTTGTCCCCCAGGCATCAGAGAAAGGAAGGTGCAGTTCAGAGAAGGGTCCTGGATAAGAGGAGACCAGGGAGCTGCTGGGGTCCCTGGTGCAGAGAGGCTCTCTTGCAGGCCTGAAAGCCAAACAATGGAAGGACCTGCAATAAGGGACGTCAGACATCGGGAAGGTCCTATGCTGGGGTGCTCTGAAGCACTGGAGTGACAGGAGGGATTCCCCAGACAGCCTGCCTGCTCCTAAAGCAGAGGTCTGCAGGCAGAGGAAAGGCATGCAGGTTTGGGGGACCTGGTGGCCTTGGAGGATGGGGCAAAGCAGAGGTCTCTGGCAGAGATGGGGGCGAATGGGCTGGCAGTCCTCCGCTCTCCTGGCCGCCCTGCTGCTGCGCCAAGGTGCCGTTGGTGGGAAGGGGGCGGCAGGCAGCCTGCGGTTTCTCCTGGGCTTTGATTTATTGCCTAATGCAGGCAGAGAAGAAAGGGGAGGCTCATCTCTAAGCCAGAGTCTTAGGAGCGGGACGTGAGTCTCCCATCTTCTGAAGGCCCAGCAAACAGAGCCCTGCTCTCTAATTCGGCTGCAGGTCTGAGCCTGCCACGGGGCACAGACATGCCACCAAGTAGGCTTCTTGCACTGCGCCTCTGGTTCAGAATCCCCCACCCCCACCCCCATGGCTCTGTGCTTATGGGGAGCAAGAGGCAGAGGCAGGAAGGAGACCTGGGAGGCAGGAGCAGAGGTGCCAAGAGGGAGAGAAAGGTCTGAGACAGAAGAGGAGGCTGAGGACAGACAGGAGGCACCCACGGGCAGAGTAGAGAATGGAGGAGGGACAGTGGCCAGGACAGCCCTGAGAGTGAGATTCAGAGGCAGATGGAGAGAGACCTGGGGACCAGAGGTGCCCCAACAACACCAATTACGTGGGAAAAGAAGAAAGTGCTTAGGTTTGGATGACTGGCTGGACCATGTGGGAAGGGCCCCTGCTAGTCCAAAAGCAACTTAAGAAAAAATTTAAAAAGATATCTCAGTGTCTGAGTGGGGTGCTGCATCCAACCAGGGCACAGAACTGGATTTCAGTCCCTTATCCCCTCAGGCTCAACTACCCAAAGACCTGCAAGTCTAGTTAGGGCCAAAGGAGTAACAGAGCTGGGGAATGCTCAGCCAGCACCTTAGGGAAGCTTCCAAATGACCGTTCTTTTGCTTCAGGATCCGCCCCCTAAGATCCTCATTTTCTTCCTAATCCCTGGGGTAAGGAGCCTTTCCAGGAAGCCCACCTCCAGAGTCTGTGTTTCCACCTCCTCCACCCTTCCTCCTCATAAGGACCCAAGAAGGCCTCGGGGAGGACAGTATTGTTGAGCTCAAGTGAGTCATGGGTTGGGATGAGAGGAGATGGGGCCTCAGCCTTCCCTTCTCTGAAGTGGATCCTCAGGCCAATGGCAAGGGAAAGCAAGGTAATTAATGCAAGGTCTTTGCCAACTCACTTTCCTTTTTGCTTCAAAGGGAAGGTGAAAGGGATTGGGCAGAAGCAGCCTGAAGGCTGAGGAGAAGATAGGAGAATGAGCTAATTAATGCACATTTGAGCCTCAAAAAGAAAAATGAGCAAAGAAAACCCATCTGGATTCTTCCTCCCTAGAAACAGTCCTCTGCCTCTTCTGGCCTGAGGGTCTCAGGGAGGGTGCTGCAACTGAACTCTTCCCCCACCAAGCCCTGTGCCTTAGGGCATTACTCATGGCATCAAAAAAAAAAAAAAAAAAAACTTCACTTCTCCCTATGGTGGCCACCAGCAGGTGCAATTCAACATTTGTTTACAGTCAAATGTCAACATTTGTTTACAGTCAACATGTGTTTTCAGTTTATTGCAGATAAGACAAAGCAAAGCATTGGACATAATGAGTGAAAATAAAGTGAAGATAAAGTCAAAATACACTCTACTGCCAAGTGTATCTAAAAAGAACAAATTTTTAAAAAGTGAAGAGAAGAAGCGAATCAGTGGTCAACCAAGAGTCAGGCTGCAGAGCTTCCATCTGACCATGAGTCTCTCTGCTGCACCTTTATGGAAACTGGGGTGCACTGATACTTACAGGATCTTCAGGCTGTAGAGACCAGAGAAGGCTTGTCCTGGAATATGTGAGAGATGATTTCCAGAGAGACGCCTGGAAATCAGAGTCAAAGTATCAGTGGTGTCAGCAGGTAACCCAAGGAGCGGGTGACTTCCATTATTACTTCGTTATCTTGGGATGTGGGAGGGGGAGGTGGTGGTGACAGCTAGCATTTATTGAGTCTACACCTACTCCACACATGCCATCTCAATTCTCACAAAACTCCATAAGGTACTTTGTTTGGTTTCAGGTAATGGGGATGGAACCCAGGTATGCTTAACCACTGAGCTATATCCCAGCCCTTTTTATTTTTTAGTTTGACACAGGGTCTTGCTGAGTTGCTTAGGGCCTCACTAAGTTGCTGAGGCTGGCCTCAAACTTGCAATCCTCCTGCCTCAGCCTCCTGAGCTGCTGGAATTACAGGCATATGCCACCATCCCTGGCTTGAAGGTATTTTTATACAATAATTTTGCTTGTTTATTTTGGTGCTGGGGATAGAACCCAGAGCCTTGTGCATGCTAAGCACATGCTCTACTACTTAGCTACAACTCCAGCCCTACAATGATCTTAGTGCTCCTGGGCTTTGATTGTGACCTGTCACATGAGGTCAAGCACAGAATTGTCCGCAGATGGTGCCGTCAGGTCAGGGTTCAAAAAGTTTGATATTTCAGATTTTTATATTTAAGCTATGCTTAAATTTTACATGAGAAATTTCACACACGGAAACTGAGGCTGAGCCAAGTGACTTCCCCTCCAGAAGCACAGGGTTCTCCCCACATCTGACAATCTTTGGGGCTCACTTTGCACCGTGGTCTGTCCTGGGCTGAGTTGGACCACCCACATCCTGCTCTTGATCACTGACCTGCACTGCCCATGTCACCAGTGAAGGGGTGGGTACAGACAGAGTCTGCATCTCCCCACACCTTACACCACACAGCTCACCCCCAGTAATTGGGGAGAATTGGGAGATGGGGTGCTGGCATCCCCCTGACATTCTGGTTTAATTAAGCATTTCCCCATTTGTCAGGAGGAGATCAAATCTAAAAGGAGCAAATGTAATAAAATATGCTCACACCTGACTGGGCAGAGGTTAATTGTGGATGGCTCAGAAGACACTTCTGAACCTCCAGAGTCCCCAGGGACGTTATCTCTCCTTCCTGCGAGCCTGCAGATGTGGAGATTGTGCTGGAATACAGCAGGAGCTTCTTTTTTTTTTTCCCCCAATATGTTTTATCTCAGGCTGGGGATGTGGCTCAGGGTAGAATGCTCTCCTAGCCCTGGGTTAGATTCCACCTCACCCCCAAAAGAATCTAATCGAAGTCTCTTGACTTGACATTTGTCATTCAAAAATAACTGTGTGGAAAGGCATCTCGATATCTGAGGTCACCAAGCCTGGCTTCTGTGGATGGGCTCCTGCCTGGGTGGGTCCTGGAGCTTGACCCTGTCTCAGGGAGCAGGAGCTACAAAACCAGCCTTGACTCTCAGGTTGTCCCCCTCTTTGTCCCCTTTCCTGAGCACTTGGCCTTTGCTCGTAACTTTTTGTTCCCCTGACAGGCTGTCACATCCACCTGGGAAGGCCCCTCTTACCCTGTCCACTTCCTTTGAAAACTGGTTTCCTCCCTTTCTCCCTCCCCCCTTCCTCCCCCTCCCCCTCCTCTTCTTCCTCCTCCCCCTATTCCTCAGCTCCACCAACCCTGCCCCCCCACACGATGCCCCTTGGACCCACCCTACAGTGCCAGCTCCCTTGCTGCCCCCACAGCTCACCAGCCCTGAGCAAGCTCCCTGAGGGTGGCAGGAGGGACCTCCAGCTTGTTTCCCCTGTGTCTTCACCCACTGTGCTCCTCAAGGACAGGGAGTCCATCAGCCCCTAGGGCCGTCAGGGTTTGTAGCAAACCCTGCCACAGCCCTGGGGGTTGATGGACTCCCTGTCCTTGAGGAGCACTATGGGTAAGGAGGGGACACCTGTGAGGGAGTGGTAGGTCAGGGTAGGGATGGGGCAGAAACGTCTCCAGGGCCAGGAGGCCACAGTTTGTGCAGTTTAAGCAAAGCTTTGTAGGACCCCAAGGATCTAGGGGAAGAAGAGACTTGGGACAGAGTGACCTGGTTTCCCAAAGCAATCAGGAGGGACACTCTACTGGAGCAGGTGACTTCCTCCTGAGCCTCCTTGAGTGTGAGGCCAGACAGGAGTGACACTGTGGGGAGGGATGACCCAGAAAGGACTTTGCCAGGGAAGAGGATCTTGTAGGGGAGGGTATAAGACGTTGATCCTACAGGTCGTGGGGAGCCACCAAGGGCTCTTGAGCTGGTGGGGTGCATCTTGAAGTTGTACAGAGAACATCAGAAGGGAGGCAGCAGATCTGTCACTTAGGAGGCTGGTTTCCCCCAGGTGTCAGGGATGTCTGGGGCAGTAGCAGTGGGAATAGAGAACAAAGGGTAGACGTGAGTGACATCTCAGAACCACTGGGTTCTAGAGAATGGCTGGTGGCTGGACGCAGGGCACAGCTGCAGCTCAAAGATGACCCTGGGGAGATGTGCAACTAAGGACAATGAGAGGGAAAGTGAGCCAGGCACAGTGAGTGGCGCACACCTGTGATCTCAGCAACTCAGGAAGCTGAGGCAGGAGGATGGCAAGTTCAAGGCCAGTCTCAGGAACTTAGTGAGGCCCTGAACAACTTAGCAAGGACCTGACTCAAAATAAAAAATAAAAAGGGCTGGGGATGTGGTTCAGTGGTAGAACGCCCCTGGGTTTAATCCTGAGGACTGCCAAAAAAAAAAAAAAAAAAAAAAGTTACAAAAAGGCCCAGGTTTCAGGGGAGGAATGCAGTTAGAGTCCAGACCTCCTGTACCGCCTGGGCCTAGCCCTGCCCCCCAGGACTCACACCTGGAGCAGAGGTCAGCGGGACACTTCTTGGCTTCCCAAGCCCCTTTCTCTTCCCTCAAGCCCCCCTCCTCCTGAGGTGACCTGGTTCCTCAGCTGGTAGAGGCAGCCCCAGCCTCGCCTCCCATCCCCCAACTCCCACTCACAGCTCCTCCAAGAAGCGAAGGTGGCGGAAGAGGCCGGGCTGAAGCTCCGTGAGGTTGTTCATGCTGAGGTCTCTGCGTGGAGAGAAAACCGGGAGGGGGCTGTGAGCTGCCCACCTGTACCATCTGCACTGTCATGCCCCAAGCCCCCATGGGGGAGACAGAGTTTCCCACAGTTCCTTTCAGCCCCCCACTTGCACCCTGCCATGCCCTCCTAGCTCCGCAGGCAGAGCAGGGCTGGGAGCCAGGCCCCTGAGCTGCCTCTGTCCAGTCTCCCATCCACCCTCCCCCTTTCAGTCTTCCTTGGCAGGGTTCTCCTGGGACTAGCTGCAATTAGGACAATGGAGGAAGCTGACTTCCCCACAAACGGAGGAGCTAGAGGAAAATTCGTAGCATTTCAGAGAGGAAGGGAGGGGTCTTTAGTGCAGATAATATTTTATGCACTCTTTTTACCATTGGGGAAACTGAGGCCTGGGATCACTGCCCTTCTGACCTACAGAGCAGCCTCAGTGGATGTCCATGTCCATGCCTTGCTGTGCCCATCCCCAGGCCACCACAGGGGTCATCCAGTCCCAGAGCCAGTGGGGTCTGGCCACCCTCTGGGCTCTCTGACAGTCTCCCTCCCGTTGGCCTTGCTCCCTGTCAGTCTCCTGGTACATCCTAGAAGATGCCCAGATTCCTGGATGGGGGTGTGTGAAGGCCTGGATCCCTCCATGCACTCACAGCCTAGATCATTCTAAACCTTCCAGGTTACCTAAGAGACCCTGTGAGTGGTTTTAGCGTCACTGTCCTTTAAGATGACCTGCAAACAAATTAACCACAATAACTACATTGACATTTACTGGAGGCCCACTCTGTGCCAGGCATTGGCCAACCTTTATCCAAATAATCCCACTTAATCCTCACAACCACCCCAGGCTAGCTTCCATTTTACATTTAAGAAAACAAAAGAAAAAAGCAAGGAGCTTTGGAGTCAAAAGGCCCTGAGGTCCTATCTCTCCTCCACAGTCACCTATCAAACCTGGGGCTCTTGATCACTTGGACCAGCCATTTTCTCAGCCATAAAAATAAAATGAATAATGATGATGATAATCATAATATGGAACAAATAAAACCAAGCTAGCGAGGTCCTTGTAAGGATCAAGAACTCACGTTGACAGATTGCCTAATAAATAGGACATACACAATAAATATTTGCTTCTTCCTTCCACCTTTCCCTCAGTGGACTGTGGGCCAGAGTCCCAGCCCCACAGGCCTGGAGGTGGGTGGGGCGGAGTCGGGGACTTTGTTTGCAGGTCCTGGTTCTTGTTGGCATTTTCTTCTTGGAGGCTGTGTGTTTATATCCGACTCATTTGGGTTCCCTCCCATTTCAAACTCCTAAGAGCTGCTTCTCAGCTCACCTCTCTGGGTGCGCAGAGGTGAGCCCAGACCGGACTACCGCATCCTTAGGCAGCACCCTCAGGCCCTTGCCTTGCTCTGGGAATGCACATGTGCCCTCAAACATGTGCCTCCCTTTCCCCCGCCCCAGAAATGTGTTGCTTTATGTGTGTGCTGGGAGAGGCCGGCTGGGGTGGCTAGGGACATGTGCTTGGGAGCCCAGTTCCAGTCTATAAAAAGACTGTTTAGTCTCAAATGTTTTATCTTTGATAAAGCTTGGGCTCCGGACTCCATGTCCTCTAAGGAAGGAAGATGTTCCAGGCAGGGTAGAGCTAAGGAACTGTCACGCTAAACGTGGGGCTGGTCCTTGCCTATGGTTCCCTCCCTGCACTCCTGTGGAAACAGAAGGGCCACGGCTACCTGCCAGGTCTAGAAGCAGGGCTCTGTGGAGGCCCTAGAGGGGCTGATGGTCATAGTCAACAACAGGAAAAAAGTTGCACCAAGAGGGTTCGTTTGGTCCTCGGGATGTTTCTGGGCTCCATCCACCAGCCTCTGGCTACATCTGACCGGAAGCAGGGTGATGCCCACAGATGCCCAGGCTGCAGATCCTGGTCTGACTCGATTCCTTCCTCTTGTGCCCTGGGCCTGGCTCATCCTCAGTGAGGAGGGAGCTGCTAGGTGCCACGAAAATGATTACCTCTAAATATTTACCCTGTGCATTTCTGATGTGTCTCGACAGGCACCCGAGCGGGAGTTCAAGGAGCACGTGGGGCATGTGACTCAGTCCTCATCACTCAGCTGTCCCTCCAGGGGCCGCACGCGGAGCTCTGATGCTTCTCCACAGCCCCTACCCCACCCACTCCCTCCGCCTGCCACCCTGACTAGCGGCCTCATTGTTCTCCCCTGGGGAGGAGGGGGCTGAACCCCCCCCCCACGCCTCCACATCCTGCCCCAAGACAGCAGGCCGCTCAGGTGCTCAGGAGAGGGGCCAGGGTGGGGCGTGGAGGGCGGTTTCCTATGGTCTGGTTCCAGGGGGCCCATTCAGGCCTGGCCCCTCACAAAAGGAAGAAGGGCGAGGCTGGTGCCAGGCAAAGGTAGGAAGAGAATTGCGCAGAGCTGGGAGAGGGAGGCCAGCGGAGATTTCAAAGCTTAGATCCTTCAGCTGATGCCGCAGGAGGGCTAAGGGCACTGGCAAGAGGCTCTGGGCCCTGTAGAGTGATAGGCATGGAATCAACGTGCAGAATCTTSTAACACAGGGTTTGTTCTACCAAGTTGGTGGTTCTGACCTAGGACTCTCCTGGGAGGCCAGCTTGTGCAACCAGAGGACACAGATCAGACAGGGAGGCCATGCCTGGACCCGGGGGAGATAAGAGTGCACCCTGATTCTTGGGTGCCTGAGTCTGGTTGTGGCTATGCTGATGTGGCCTTATGAACCTGCGATACCTACAAGGAGGGGGCGTGTGTCGGAGTACGTGAGCTCTCAGACGTGCTCGTCTTGCTCATGTGTGAAGGCACACTTGTGCGTCTGTGTTTGTGCATTATGGAGTGCTGGGCCGTTAAAAAGCATCAAACATTCCCAAGGTTTCCACCCGTCATAAAGACAGAGGCTCACCCAATTCTTGCCCTTTAAGTTAGAAAGCCTTTTTTGGCCATGTGACCTTAGACAAGACTGGTTCCTTCTCTTGGCCTCTGGTCTCCCTTCCAGTCTATCTCTGACTCCCAGCGAGGGGAACAAATGGCCTAGTGATGCTGTTTTAAGGTCTAACTAACTTATGGCTGGATTGGACACTCAAGGCCTGAACTCAAACTCTGCTCTACCATCACTACCCTGTGACCACTGCCCCACCCCCCCGCCACACACACACACACACACACACACACACACACACACACACCTCTCCAGTGCTGACTCCACGAGCATATAACCTGTGCAGTTGCACAGGGCCTCACACTCAGAAGGGCCCAGCTTAACTCTCTGCTATTGCCGTTTTGAAATACTTCCTACTTTGGGCAAGAGGCCCTCCATTTTCATTTACACTGGGCCCCTCAACAGCTATTCTGGCCTGAAAAGCAAGCGCTTCAAAGGATGGCTTGCAATCTCGTTCTGAAGTCTTCATCCAGTCCTGGCAGCCCTCAGGATACACAGGCACGTTCTGTGTCCTCTTGGCTGGACGCGGCCATGATGAGGTGAGGGTCGCCGGGGAGGGTGTTGACAGAGCAAGGCTGGTGGGAGGGGAGAACTGAGGGGGGCAGCCCTGGGCACAGGAAGCGGAAGTTTCTGGCTGCACATTAGGAAAATGTTCTCAGAGCTTCACCCTGTGAGGTAACTGGACCACCCAAGGTAGCTGGGTGAGGCGGTGTCACCGTGGAGGCAGGAAGCCGGTTTGATAAGAGGGAAGATGTTGGGAAATGGAAGGGGGCAGAGAACAGCAAAACCCATGCTCCAGAGACAGGAGAGAGGAGATGCTCCCAAGGAAGTCTGGCTGATAACCAAGGGCCCCTGGCAGGGACCGGTTCYGCTTGAATTTTTCCTGTGGAAGGAAGCAACAGTGAAGGACAAACCTTTGGGTCCTTCTGGGGTAGACCTGGAAGGACGCCCCACACTGGAGAAGAGACCCAAAACGCATGAACCCCCTTTCCACTGTCTCTACTGGGGCTCAGGTTGCCCAWCTCTGCAGCCAGGAAAAGGTCAGCTATTTATTTTATTGTAAATATTTAAGGTGTACAACTTGATGATTGGATATACACATACACATTAGGAAATAATCACCATCATCATTAAGCTCGGGAACACACCCATCACCTCACATAGCTACGGTATTTCCTTCTCATTCATTCATTCATTCATTCATTCACCTTATGGCAAAAACACGTAGGATCTACCCTCAGAAAAAGGCCTCAGGGTGTCCAGGAGCTGAGCCCTATGCCTAGCCACGGCTATGCTCTGGTGTCACCTCCTCTGTGAGGCTTCCCTTGCCTCCCCAGGCAGAGCTGGGGTGACACCCTCTGAATCCCGAGGATGTTTCGTAAATACTCGTCTTGCTCATGTGTGAAGCTTTAATTCTTGAGCCAGTGTCTAGCGCTGCCCCTGCCTTTATCCTTACTTGGCACAACGCTAACTGGCTGTGCGACCCCATCCCCATGTCATTTCATATCTCTGAGCCCCCTTTGTCTCATCTATAAAATGGGAGTCATTATAGTTCTTACCTGACAAGAGCTACTGTGAGGAGTGTGTGAGTCGATAAACATAAAGCCCAGGTCTCTATAAACCTGCCTTATCCCTACCATCAGACTCATCCAACTGAATTCCGATTATTTAGTCTGTAACGACATATCTGAGCTTATTCAAAGCAGGGAATTAATCACCTGTGCACCCTCCAGTCCTAGTGGGATGCCTGGCAAATAGGGTGTTCAAAAACCGTCCAAATAAACGCATCACAGGGCTGGAGGTGTAGCTCAGTGGTGGGGTGCTTGCCTAGTGTGGGCCAGGCTCTGGGTTAAAAAACCAAACCAAACCAAATGAGTGTTACAAACAGACGATTCCTCTCCCTRTTCCTGTGACTGACAGCCTTCACTCAGAGGAAGTTCTTCCCAATGTCTAGTTTGATGAACTCCCATTGATGCTGAAAGGCACAGCCTCTGGGAGGAACTTGATTCCAAGTCAACAGCGCCGTCAATGGTGGCTCTTGCTACAGAGG